GCCAGGTTTGTGCTACGCTTTGTGTACACGGCACCGTCATCACCAGAGGTGGGGAGAGATACCGGCTACATGGTATACCCACCAGAAGGCATGCTGGAGGACCATGCTCATACTACGGGGGTCCGTGTTCTACGCAGATGGTATGTGGAATGCTGCATGAAGATAATTTGCGAACGAGAAGACCTTGCATACGTATCCCCTTGACGCGTCGACATCGCAAGGCCCGTTTGAAATGGACCAAGTAACATACGCGGTAGAACATGCAACCCTTGAGACACGTTCTGTTTACTTATGAGTCAAGGTTCTACCTAGACTTGACAGATAGGCGTGCTATAGTCTGGAGAAGACAAGGTAAACAGTTATAGGCTGCAAGTATTGCTGAACATAGCCGCTACCAAGGTAGGTCAGTGATGGTGTGGGGAGGCATCAGCTGGGATTGACAAACCGACCAGGTTGTGCTAAATAGAGGCACATTGACAAGTAAATGATACATAGACGACATCTTAGACAACCAGGTAAGGTTTTGTGCTGTAGTAGTTGGCGATCAAGTTATTCTAATGTACGATTATGTTCGCTTCCATAGGACCAGGGTGGTCCAGAACTACCTAGGGAGGGAGTCTATTGAGAGCATGAACTGGCCAGCTCGCTCACCTGATTTAAATCAAATATAACACGTGTGGAAGTGTGCTGAAGGTTAAAAATTCAGCTCGTTAGCTGCAAACTGAGCTTAGAGTCATGTTGGTCCACGAATGGGCAGCCATATCCGTAAAAAAGATCAGAAACCTAATAGCGAGTATGAGAAGGTGCTGCAAAACTGTCATTGATAGACACAGGTCACACACACGGTATTAAGTATTAAACTGTAAACAAAAGATAACAAATTTGAAAAGCATGCTGCATGTTTTGAAATATTCAAAGAGGGGGTCATTCTCTTCTCTAGCACAAAAACTCATTTATAGGTTTGAATTCGTCCTTCAGGGGTAAATCAACTGTTAAAACCTTTGGTACGGTGTTGACAAAATTATCCAAAAATATATTCTCATTCAAATATATGGTGCTTTGCAAAGTTGGGAAAGTACATCCAGTGTTATTATTTTTGAACGTTGAAATAAAAGACAAAGAATCTTATGACAAATTTAAGCAAACCAAAAATTAAGAAAAGAAAAAAAAAAGGTAAACACAAACGTAAACGGCCAAAATTATTGTCAGAACAAGAGTTCACTCAGTTGTTGGCGGCAAATTACCAAAAGAATTATTATCATAGTAATAAAATTTGGCAGAGTCATGACCTTTCTCTATTTGATGAAGTTTAAAAATCAAGTTACCGATAAGAGTTTATCAAATATATATGAATGAATGACATTTACCTTGAACCAAGCGACATCAACCGCCACCCAATCTTGAAGGACCACATAAGGTATATTAGACATTGGCAAACAAGCAACTATGCAAATGTGTTTTAAAATATATTGTAAGCAAATGTTTTTATGACCGTGTGACTCCTGTCACTGGACAATCAAAGGAATATTCCTTCTAAATAATATTAAAAGAACAACAAAAGTCAATATTTAAAGGCTGTATAAGCAACTGTGTAGATTTTTTTTGCACCTTTGACCTTCCAACCTGGTCAATATTTCCGGTTCACAAATGTATTCCTTTAATTTTGTTTTTGTATTAAGTTTTGTTTAGTTGTACCACAACTCAACCTTTTGTACAATTGTTCATTATAATTTTGCTTTAGATAATTTAAAATTACTTAACTATAATTCATGCAGAGTTATGAGATAAAATTATACTAAACTGAGCTTAATTTTATTTTTTATAAAACGAAGAGTTAAATGCGAAGTGAGTTTATTTACGAAATTCCAAATTATTAATAAATATATGCATAAATTTTATAAAAAATGAAGCTTGATTGAACTAAGAAACCAAACATAAAACTTAATATATACTATTATACTGCCCTGATTGAACATTTTATGTTGGTTTTGCAGTTGAATAATTTTTTCTTTTAGATTTAAACAGTAAATGACTTTGCGTTGGCGTATTCTGTTACGCATTGTGAAACGCAACGTACCAGATTTCCATATAAAGAAAAATACAAACATGAAGACATCCATTTTTATGACGTGAACGAATTTAATATATTCTACATTTACAATCAAATTACTAGAAATTCACACTTTAGATGAGGAAAATGTATAAAATAACAGGCGTAAATATAATGCACTTCTTTTACATGTTTAAATTACAGTATCAGCAATAAGCATGGTAAACTGGGTAATGTTTCTTTTTCAAATGTTGTGTATTAAACACACTCGTTAAATGAGATAATTTTCAGTAAATAATTGTATGTGCAGTTAAACTAACTTGATAGCAAGTTCGTCTCGTGGTTGGATTTAAATCAGTCATACTTTCCTAAGTGCTTGCACAATCAAACAATTATCAAAAAGTAGTGTGAAGCAATGAAGTTTTTAATCTACGACAAATTGCATACCTGGTGTCTTACGAAGATTAAGGTAAAACGCGTCACTTTGCGAACTTTCGAGTAGCGTCTTGAAAATTGGCAGGCAAAAAATTTACAATTTTTCTAATTGGACTCCATTTATTTTATTCCAATAGTTTCAGCCAATGTTTGTACACATGACATCAAAGATGACCATCAAAGCCCGTTTTGAACATGACATCGTTGCGTAACCTTGGCAACTGTTACGGGTATTTCAACGCCATTGGCGGACAAAATATCTTAAATCCTACAGCATTCGACGATATTTATTTTTTCCTTTAAGCTTATATAAATTTTATTGTTTTACGCCAAAAATTTTATGCAGATACTTTTGAGACTTCAAAGTGCAGCAATAATGTTCACATTATCAGGAAAATTGTTCTACAGTTTTACTTATACATATAAAACAACAATGTTCTATTGCAAATTCTTAAAATCTAAAATGAGACCTGACGATGAAAAAGCATATCTATATTTAAAATCTTAGCCTAGGATTTAGGCGTTGATATTTTGCTTATTCGCTTAATATTTATGCGTTGATTTTTTGCTTATTCGCTTAAAATACGCGTCATTTCCTACGAGCACGTCACAATTTCTGATTGATAAATACTCGATTTAAAGACTGGAACCAAGGCTAGTAAAGTCTAAATACAGGTACATTTCAATATAACGTGTTACTTGAGCAAAAAGAGACTGTCAGCAGTGTACAAAATTTGCAAGATATGTAACAAAAATTGTCTAATTAACTATCATGGGCTTGGTTGAAGTGCAATATTATCGCATTTCCATTTTGTGACGTTTATGTTTGCTAAAAAAATGTACGAAAAACAAACGAATATTTTTTCATGTTTTTAAGCATGATTAATAACTTTATAAGGAATCGTGAAAAGACGCATGTAAAGAAAATGACGTCAGGCGTTCAACGGCAACACATACGCTGCGCAAACAAATGCAGCTGAGAGTTATCATTGCAGTGTACCTTTTTTATATTGTAATACAATAAGATTAATAACTTTGAATCGAAAAATATGCCATAAGGAACAAAAATCAACTATATATGTTTATGCAAATTTAGAAATTTACGGATATTCAATCATAAATTAATACGTAGTCTACAAGAAATTCTGCAAATCTATACATTTTGCATTACCCACACTATGCGTGATATACTGTGAGTGATATGTATTTCATTTCACCTATTAAAAACCAGAATTTGAATGTCACTTGTTATCAAAAATTATTGCAACAATTTGACAGAGTAAAATAATAAATAATTGGCGAAATATTGACAAATTAAAATATACGGTTCGTAAATGAAATTTAATCAATTATATTAGGGTGAAGCAACAGTCATGTTTGAAACGTTAGCTCAGTGGGTGTTGGATAACAGATGTAGCACGTTCGATTCTACATGTAAATAAACATCTTTAATATTAATTCTCTCGTTTTGGTTATCATTTTAGAACATCATAATGTTAAAAATAAGAATAACGATTAATTGACAATTGACCATAAACGCGTTATTAAAAACATTACTATCATATCGGCCTTTGCAAATATTCATTATTCACTGTATAGCCAAATTTATGGTAGAGTTTATTTTGAACAGGAAAATTAAGAAACAGTACTTTAAACATGAAATATAATGAAACGCTATAAATACACGTCTGCGGATATTTAGCAGAACATATACGCGAACCGGCGGTCCTGAGCTAAATACTGCACAAAGGAGTGTTGCGTTGTCAATCTTTATACATTCAATATATAGTGTCCTGTTTTTGTCTGTACATGCTACGGGCACTGTAGAGGATCTGTCGATGTTTTATATGTTCTGTTCACCGACCATTTAATCAGTATGCAACTGACATGTTAATAAAACCTCTCTGTTTTATATACAAACTTTGCATTTATAAGAATAAAAAAATCATATTTTGGTAATATCTGACCGTGTTATTAAAAATAATACAAATTTTAGTAAATACGAACTTCATACAAAGTGCCCATATATTACGAGTGTACGGATCACGATATATTAGTCATATACGTATTGCATAATATACGGCCCCGTACATCTAAGTATTCAGTTTCACTTATTTTTACCTGTCTATATATAATATACGTAATTCCGTACCCTTCATTGTATCTATATATATTAAAGGACGTTTAAAGAAAAAAATCAAAATTTTATTTCAGGATTTTTTTAATAAGTCGGTTTTAAGCTGAAATTTGCGGCTAAACTGAACGTCAAATTTTACACAAAATTTACAGTATTCTTTCCATTTTTTCACACATGTTTTGGCGTAAAACAATAAGTTTTATATCAGCTTAAAGGAAAAAATAACTTCCGTCGAATGCTTTAGAATTTTAGATATTTTTTTCCGCCAATGACGTTGAAATACCCGTAACAGTTGCCAAGGATACGCAACGACGTCATGTTCAAAAACGGGCTTTGATGGTCAACTGTGACGTCGTGTGTACAAAAACTGGCTAAAAATATTGGAATAAAATCAACGGAATTAAATCAGAAATATGGTCAACTTTAGCAATGCCAATTTTTAAGACGCTACTCGAAAGTGCCGCGTTCTACCTTAAAATAGGTTTGCGAATGGTTATCCAATGATGCGTCGTAAGACTTGTATAAAGAAAGAACGAATAAGTCCTCCTAATCTTCTTAAAGGATTTATGTGTTCAGATACAGATGTCCCGTAGAAGCTTTCAAAAAATGCCTGTAATTGAAATTTTGCAGAATCATTCATCTCACATTTGTATAATTTTGAGTCCATGTTGTAAGCGACATCAATGAACTCAACATTATGATACCTGTTAATGTTGACTAGTCTAATAGATGTCGATACATTTGTCAAGGAACTTTTTAAGCCAGTATGGAGAAGAAGAACAGCGAACCTTTCACCTGAAACGATTGTAATTTTTGAACGTGTTTGGTATAACAGTGCAAACATTGCTTACCTGCATTTAGTTATGTGAAATTAAGTAATAAAGTAACTATCAAATACAAACAAAAACAAAATACACATATGATGCCAATATAGATATAAAATACAAACAAAAACAAACAAACATTTGTTTTCAACATAAATCGTAATTTTGATAGTAATTTTAGATAAAATATGAGCGTCTAATTGCCCAATTGATGAAGTTTGTGGTGAGTACCTATGTCCGTTAGGGTGTTTTTATGTTCTTCGACAAGAAATGTAATCATAAAGATGTTGTTTCAGCCTTGCCTTTTCATTTGTTTAATTATCCCGTCGTGCTTCCCTAAAACTGTTTTTATCTTTTTTTGGATTGATGGAGTTTGAGGTTGTTTATTACTTTTAGCCGTAAAGCTTTTTGTCGGAGGAACGTTTCATTTTGGTCAACATGGTCAAGGGTCACCGATGTGAAAAGTTTTTTTCAACATCTCTGCTTGCAAAGAATATATTCATGTATTGAAAACAATTAATATGTCATAAAGAACTTACATGTAACTCTATTTATTGCTAAGTCAATGTCCGGCTCTAACCTGGAAGATACCTGGCACACAACAACGACCGGATACTCCTCAGATAGTTCTCCGATATCATAGCAAAGTGTGCATGTAAATGAGATATCTTTACATAAGCTTTGGATTGCTGAAGAGAAATCTTTTGTGGTCCTGGTTACTATTGGTATGAGAATTTGTACATTCCTTCGGATGTAAAATAATGGTCCAACAATTGGGATAGCTTAAATTGAAATTGTTAAAATTTTAAAATAGATTCTGTATTTTAAATATTCTTAAGATTGGATAATAACATACATTTTAATATGCTAAGGATTTTAAAGACATTATATTGTAAATAACAATAACTAAGAAATCTATATAATTTGTTAAAAACTTATATACTAATATATCGTATAAGATACATTTACATGTTTTCCAACTATCTTATAATGGATAGTGAGTTTAAAACCTTCACAACAATTTTTGAAGGGATTATCTATAATGATATTATAATATATTTGATTAAAATATATTTTCAATGTTCAAGTACTTCAAAATAGAAAGGTTGATATGAAACACTAATATTCATATACTCACACTGCACAACACATTTTAGGATACAGACAACTATTCTTATTCCTGTGATCATTATCTTCAATGATTTTCTGATGCAAGTAATCCGTTATTCCGAAGAAATTTTCTAACTGTGACCTTTTTGATCTTTGTGCAGTCGCTAAATTCCGGCAAATGTTTCATTGGCTGTCCTACAAAGTGTTAAAGATATGAAGCTTATAAATACTTCATTATGAAGTTTAAAGTAAGGCAAGATTTCGTAGGAAATATTTCACATCTATTGTTGTTCCCGCTCCCACAATTTATTACCATTCATTTTCAAATGAGTACTGTATGCAGTATCAGTACAAGATTATGTTTAAAGTGTCTTCTAACCACCATAAGAAGACAGTTTGCAAGAATGGGCAAGGGATTCGTTGTTGTTTTTCGGAGCGAACTTCGAGCTCTTAAAGAAGCCACTTTTGAAGAAATTACGAGTAATGACGATAAAGTGTAATGAATATATACTAAATAAAAACCATTTAATGATAAATCGATGTATTTAAAAGTATATATATATGTATTCTTGTTGAAAATATAAAACTTTAGAAAACATTTCAATTTTGTATGAAAATTGTACTCGCATAATTTCATACACTTATTTCAGTCGCACGTTTTTCGCTATCATTCATTACAATGTTTAAATAACTGCTTTAAATAGAGAACCATATTTATTTAAATCGATTATGTAAGATTAAACTAGTTTAACATTAAAACATGCACTTTACATCTAGTAATGTTAAAGAGAATGATGTTATGGACTCCATATTTTGTGAGTTTCCTTTAAACATGATTATCGCAATGAATATCTCTTGATTATTAGTATTTTGGTATAAGGGTATGAGAACGAATTGCATGAAATTTCTTTTTTCGGATACAATGTCAGGTAATATAGATAATGTCTAAACAAACAGCTGTTACTTCTGCCGAATAGACCGATACTTAAATCAAAAGTATTTTTGTTCCTGGAAATAGCCATCCACTTTATATATAAACTGAATTTATTCTTAAGTTGCACAATCAAATTCGCTATTATTTATATATAGCCTGATAAGATTTAAGATTGACTGAATCTCGACAGTTCGAAGAACAGAGAGAGTAATCGTACTCAACAAGGCGTAGATATCCGTGTCAAGCTTTTGTTCAGTATTGCATACCAAGTTGGTAACTACACAATTTCTTAAGGAAGTAGGTTTAAATTTCACACTTATTTGAAAGCATTACATAGAACTTGATAACTATAGCCTTTTCTAATATTCTCTAGTTTATGAACTGGTGCTGTAATTAAATTTCAATGCTCTAAAGATATATGCAAAAATTATGGTTAATTGCTGCAAATGTTAGATTTACGAGGGATGATCAAAAATTAACCGGACTTTGTAAATGATTCTTAACCTGTTAAATGAATTTACATAACAATACACGGAAAATAAATCGGAATCTATCCCCTAAATGATACAAAAATACCAACAAGAAATATTAACAAAGAAAAAAGTTATGCTGTTATTGGCATGCACATGTAAAGCAATGCGGCGCACGGTATAACTTTAAAATTGACGTTAACGACGTCGCAAGCGTATTGTCCTTAACGGTGGAGATTTTTACTCATTCACGGAGTAGGCCAATATGTGGTACAGTCATGTTATTGACTCCCCTGCCTATATATATTTCTGTACAAGTGGGTATCATATTGTATTGTAATAGGTTGAATGGTGATAAAGAGATCCTGTAATGGCGCAAACTTCCGTTATTTCCTTCTGTAACTTGATTGTTGAAAAAATCGCCCATGAAATTAACTATATTATGTATTACAAATAATGTAAAAAAATGAGCTGAATGATAATGTATCATTCATACGAAAAAATAACAGAAAAATACAACTATGATCAAAATTGTCATTATTTTAGAATAAATAAAACGCATAGCCAATTTGAACAGTGGCTGTTAAATTGTTGACACAATTTCTCCGTAAGACTACTGCGTAAAATAAGAAAATAATTGATACAATTGTAAACTAAGAATACAATACATGTAATTAATGCATTAACTATTATCATTTTTAGATCCTAAGAGTTGACTGCACCGTCCCGTAGTTACTGTCGAACATCGTTGACAATGTCCGCAGTCAATCGACTGTCATTTTTCAACGTCTTGGCGATTGACGTCACCAACGTCCTTGAAAATGTCTTTTTTCTGTCTCTCCCTTTCTTGTTTCTATTTCTCTATTATCCTTTCTTAATCTTTTAAGCTAATCAAAAAATATGCTGTGGCTTTCTGGAACTTTTCCCTTGATAGCCATAATCTTTTTCTACGTTTTAAACAGTTTCTTGTCTTACATTTGACAAATTTTTCCTATTGATCGATTTTCGAGACATTCCAACGACATAGTTTTAACGCGTGTATTTCATTAACATGTGACGTTTGAATTGTGATTGTAAATATAAATATAGTTTAAATGAAGTCATTTTTACTGACAACGTCAAAGATATGGTACTTTACGTTTTGGCGTATTTTGAAATCTAAATGTGCCATATTGTAAAATACACGCAGCATAAAGCGCCTCATGTCAAGGCGAATTTACGCACTGCGCCGGGCGTGCGTTACCATGGTCTTTGAATTCGCTGTTACGGACAAGCTATTTGCGTTATCAGATTAGATATAGTATCAGTTTACAGGTATTGTTTTCCGATTAAGTGTGATATATAACAATAAGTGATAGGATGAAAATTCTTCAATTGCCAGTCACAGTCCGGTTTATTTTTGATCATCCCTCGTATATGAACTTCCGGTTCATGGTACTAGTTACTACCATTTTCTTCCGAAGTTGACATTCAACCAGATGTGTCCGATAATATTTGTCAATGTAAAGCACTAGATGTATTAACTAGAAATGTGTCCTAAGGACAAAGGTGACCCCACATTCCACTGTTTTGTCAATCTTTGACTTTAAGTCAAATATTTTTTTGGGCTATATTTTTGCCACAAGTTGAAATCTAGAAATCGATTTCTTTGTAAAGAGCAAGAACTTTACAAATACTGAATAAATTCACAAGCAGCCCCAAGATGCATAAGAGCATATGCTGACCAACATTTCTGTAAACTGTCAGGCCTGCAGGTCAAATACATTTTGAACTACGCATGAACAACTTTTAATTGCAAATTTATAATAAGTTAAGGGCAATAACTCTAACAAGACTGAAACAACAAATACGAAACCTCAGGTGCATAGCTTCACAGTGATGTTGATCATTATTCCTGTAAAGTTTGTTGATTCTTCACTCAAGCACTCAAGGAACAAATAACGCAACATAATGAAACAGTATTTCTAAATAAAGGGCAATAACTCTACATATAACTGATAAATCCGCAAGCAAAACCCATAAGGTGAAAATCTACAAATGCTATTAAGTTTCATGACTCTATGTTAAATACTTTATGAGCTACGCACAACACTAATTTAAAATAGCAAATTTTCACTAAGGCAAAGGCTTTAAGTCTGACAAAACAGAACAGATCCACAAACGACACCCCTGCGGCACAACTCCACATGCTGAACAATATTCCTGTAAAGTTTCATGACCATATGTCAAATACTTTTTGAGCTACGTGTGGCACAAATAATTGAAAATTGCAAATTTTTAGTAAGTCAAGGGCAATAAGTCTGACAAAACAAATAAATCAACAAGCAAAACCTTATATGCACACCTCACCATGCTGAGCAACATCACATTTAAAGTTTCATGACTCTTGATCAAATACTTTATAAGCTACGTGCGAGACAATTTGAAAACTACACATTTTTACTAAGTCAAGGGCAATAACTATACAACAACTTAATAAATACACGCAAAAATAACTTGGTACACAACTACACATGCTGTGCAACATTCCTGTAAAGTTTCGTGACTCTAGGTCAAATACTTTTTGAGATTTGTGCGACACACTATGAAATTTGTAAATGTTTAAACTACTTAAATAAGATTTAACTTCGCGGTGTAAGGGTTTAAATAATAGGTAAAATGAAAGTATTAATTTTATATGCAATCTGTACCATTTTTCGTTGAGATAGGCATTCTTTATCACACTAGGTTAACATACATATCAACATAAATCAACTATAATTAAAATAAATCAAATATTTTAATGCAATTATTTAACATTGCAAGCTTTAACTAAGAAATGCGAAAGATCTTACCCCGATCTTAACCGTCTCCGTGTTTATAGATGAGGACAAACAGAAACGCCCGCCTTACTTTTGTGAACAAGAAAAATCCAAAATTACTATAGTCTTAGACTTAAAATGATCTTGAATACATAGAAGGTGAGACATCAATCTATGGTATGTTATTGAGGTAAAAATACACAATACCCGATAGCTGTTTGAGACGACATGTTTTGAAATTCAATAGTATTTCGATCAATATAGTTTGTTAGGGGGCAAAGTTGTATTGAATGCACACGACATGTAAATCAAGGGATAACATGGTTTAACACCGTTAACCGGATATTATCGTTCTTGGCGACAACACAAGAAAATTATAAATTGTAAGATAAAATCTTAATTGATGTCATATTTCCCTAAACACATTTCACATATGAAACGTTGACGAGTATCAAAATAGAAGTGGTATTAAATTTTTGTTTTTCTTTGGTAAAAAGCACTGTTGCACACTGCAGAAATTGTTTGCCGAGTCTCGTCTATATCTTTAAAATCTGAATCGATCCTCCTTTCGTACTCGTATAAAAGTTCATGCGAGATAGACAATAAATGACTCTTACAACATATAAAATATGTGCCCAAAATATTGTACTGGGTAGAATGAGCAACTGTGCTGAGAAAGACATTTAGATATGAGCAGCGAACTGAAGAAATGTTTTCATCATATCCATATTTAGTAAAATCATTATCATATAAATACTCATGATCATCATCATCATTTATTTTCAGGCAAAACATAGAAGGTGAGACAATCTATGGTATGTTTTTGAGGTATTAAATACACAATGCCTGATAGCTGTTACAATTTACTCAATGAAACTCTAGTTTGCTTACTGGTACTGTTGTTACATTCAGCTTGCTTGTTGACAATCGTACTGTACTTGCTGGAAGTTGAAAATTGTATGTTATCAAGTCAATGATACCTACA